CACAACCGACAAAAAAAAAAAGAAGAAGAAAGAAAGAACCACCCTTTGCTAGGGTCATGATGCATTCCTTATTTTTTGGCTGGCCTACTGGGAGGCAGTTTCAGACCTGCACAGACACCATTGCAGGAGGTGTGGGGTGGTGTAGTGATGGGGCACAGAGCTAGGGGAGGGCACAGAAAATTCCTAGACTAGTCTAAGATTGAGAACTGTTGGGGAGGACCAGAGGTTTCCTAGAAATGAACCTACAATGCCATCTGTGCTGGGCACCAGTGGCTCACGCCTATAATCCCAGTTACTTGAGGCTGAGATCTAAGGATTACAGTTTGAAACCAGTCCCAACAGGAGAGTCCACGAGACTCTTTATCTCCATTTCCACTTAGCACAAAAGAAACAAAAACAAACAAACAAACAAAAAGCCATAACTGGAGCTGTGACACAAGTGGTAGAGCGCTAGCCTTGAGAAAAAAAAAAAAGCTCAGGGACTGCATTCAAGCCTTGGGACTATAAAGAAGAAAGAAAGGAAGGAAGGAAGGAAGGAGAGAGAAAGAAAAGAAGGAAGGAAAGAAGGAAAGAATTAAAACATCATCTGAAGCCAAGCAAGAATTTGCAATCTGCTCCCCTGCCACGATCTTCCAGGAAAAGACTGTCTTATCTATTGTTCTATTGCCCCAAATTGAGCTCTCTATTTGCACACAGTAGGTACATAATATATTTGCTTGCTTGGCTAGATGCATTATGGAGCAAACAAAGGAACAAGCAGGCGAAATACTGAGCAAGCTCAGTTTGACACTGTCACCTATGATTCAGATGGCTGCACCAAAGATCAAGGTGGCCTTTTCCTTTGCACAACACTTAGTTTATGGTGGATTTGTTTTTATCTTTAGATTCAGTTTTGTGTGCCTGACACTGTAGAACCCAACACAGTACAGTTTAGTCTTCCCTTTTACTTATGTCCTATGAAAAAGCTTCATTGAAAAACTAGGTATGATCAGATATTAACAATGATGACCAGTCCTATAATACAACAATTACATCTATATCTATATATCTATATATACATACACAAAATTATGTGGATATGGTCTCAGACTCCTTGAGCAAGCAGCATATACATCATGGATACACAAATAGACGATGTATGTCTCAGGCAGGCTAGGACAGGAAAGCCCAAGATCTTATCACAAATACTTAGCTATTAAAATCCTATAACCTGTTTATTTCTGGAATTTGCCATTCCTATTTTTAGATTGTGGTTGGTTGTGGGTAATAAACCACAGAAAGTAAAACCATGAAGAGAACTGTTGTACTCTGAGAAGTGGTTTCACTGTTGTTGGCTTTTTAAAAAATGAATTTGTGGTTTTGTTTCACTATACTATAATATTGTATCTGTAAATTGCATGATTAATATTCTCTTGAAACTGCCTTAACTTTTTTCTTAATGTTCAAAATAAAAAAGAGCTGGGTATAGTGGTTCAAGCCTGTAATCCTTGCTACTTGGAGGTAGAAATGGGAGGGATCACAGATCAAGCTAGCTGGGACATAAAGTTGTGAGGACCCTCCCCCCCATCTAAACTAATGTCTCGATGCAATGACACATGCCTGTCATCCTCAGGGACACAGAAAGGGAAGCACTACTAGGAGGACAGCAGCACAAGCCATCCTGGGCATAAAGCAAAACCTCACTTCAGAAAATGACCAATGCGATTGGCGGAGGGGGGGGGTGGGTAACAATGCTCAACAAGAAATGTACTCATTGCCTTACTCATGTAACTGTAACCCCTCTGTACAGCATCCTTACAATAAAATTTAAAAAAAAAAAAGACCAGTGCAAGCCGGATGCCAGTGGCTCACGCCTGTAAACCTAGTACTCAAGAGGTTGAGATCTGAGGATTGCAGTTCAAAGCCAGAAAAAATCCCCGTGAGACTTATCTCCAAATACCACTCAAAAACTGGAGGTGGCACTATGTCTCAAGTGGTAGAATGCCAGCCTTGAGCACAGAGGCTCAGGGACAGTGCCAGGTCCTGAGTTCAAGCCCCACAACTGACGACAACAACAACAACAAACAATGCAGCTGGTTCGCACACATAATCCTAGCTACTTAGGAGGCTGAGACCTGAGGATTGTAGTTTGAAGCCAGTCCTGGCAGGAAAGTCCAGGCCCTGAGTTCAAGCCCTAGGACTGGTACTAAATGAAAGGGGGTCTCGAGGTGTGGCTCAAATGATAGAACACCTGTCTAGAAAGCATGCAGCCTTAATTCAATCCCTAGTACCCCTCTCTCTCCCTCCAAAAAAGTTGTGAAGAGCAATGGAAAGCAACCATGGGGGAGCGGGACAGGGATAAAGTGCAATCAGATGTCAAGGATGGCAGGTCATTTGAGAAGCTCTCTAATTGGCACCCAGGGCCAACCCTTTTGGGCAACTATCACCTAGAATATGATGGTTAATTTTATGTCAACTTGACTGGGCCATTGGGTGCCCAGATATATGGTCAAACATTACTGTGGGTATTGCAGTGAGGGTATTTTGTCTGAGATTGTTAACACTGAAATTGATAGGTTGAGCAAAGCATCCTACCATCCCTAACCCAATTTTTTACAGTAAATCTCCTGAGTGAGAGAGGGAGAGAGAGAGAGAGGACTGATGAATCCAATGTGCTATGATGGGAGCGCAGGGAAGGGTGCAGAGGGTCCCTAAAGGTACTAACACCAACCAAGTTTTCCCCCTGTAGATACTAACTCTGAGGATCACTCCCCCCCCCCATCTCCCAGTTTACATATGAGGAAATGGGAGGCCTGAGGAGGAAGGCTCTGCCCTCTGCTCATTCTACCACCCTCACTTCTTCCATGAAGCTTGGGAAGCCCCTCAGTAGGGGACCATAGTTAGGAATAAGTCCTCAAATGTAAATACGCCTGGGAAAAATGCACTGACACAACTTCCTATGAAAATATAAACAAATGGATACATTGTTTCTGAAGGACACTGTCTCACCCCATCCACCCCTTTTTAAAATTGCAGTACTGGGGATGGAACCTAGGACCTTGTACATGGCCAAACACTGTCTCCTTGAGACACACCCCAGTCCTAAAGAGCAACATTCGATGAGGGCAGGCAGAAGCATGGAGTGGGAAGAGCTAGCCCACCCTCTGAGCGATCCCCATGCATAGACAGATGTGCAGAAGGAAACTCTACCCAGCATCCAGCGGGGCTCACAAGGGAAGGGAAGAGGCAGCTGGGACAGTGGGAGTCTGGGAGGGGAGGAACAGCCCAGAGGCCCAGACATGGCTGCGCCTGGGAGCTGAGCTGAACAGATCTGGGGGAGGATGGCTGGAGTTGGCCCAACGTTTAATTCCAGCGAGCTCGCAGAAATTTCTGCAAATACAGACTTGGAGCTGCAGCACTGACATCATTTAGAAAAACACTATTTGCATGCATCCGCCCTTCTCTGGTTACAGTGGGGTGCATTGTGGGTAGAGTGGGCGGCTGGGGGTTCAGAGCAGCCAGGCAACTGGAGGATGAATTTCAAACCTTATGTGTCACTTTTTTTTCTTTGCTTGTTTTCATTTTGGGACAATAGCTTACAAGAGAAAGCCATCTTCTGTCCCCTCTAGTCATGACTGTCATCATGGAGATGACATCATGGAGATCAAGGACGAAGGGCAAGAGTGGGCAGGACTTCCTCTCACCCCGGGAGGAAGGGGCAGGGTCTGGAAAGTACACTTGCTATGGCAGACAAGTGTGGTTGTAGAGACTGGTTGGGCGACATTATCTTCAAGTACCATCTAACCCTGAGATTCTCTTCAGGAGGCTGTGGACAACATGAAGAACGGGACTGGATGAGGTGACAGAGGGACCATCCATCCAACCAGATGGAGATCCAGTGTGGATCTACAGTCCAAGTACACAAATGGCGTTGATTCCAATGGCACATACAATTTAAAGATAGGCAACAAAGAGATATGCACTGGCAATCTAGGAATGTGATCAGAGAATAGGTGGCTAATTTGTCACTAGCCATAGTGCCACTTCCAGTTTTCTGGTGGTTAATTGGAGATAAGGAGTCTCATGGACTTTCCTTCCTGAGCTGGCTTCAAACCATGATCCTCAGATCTCAGCCTCCTGAGTAGCTAGGATTATAGGCATCAACCATCAGTGCCTGGCCTCACAAACTCTCTCTAAATCCTAGACAATTGTAAAGTTTAGGCAAGTCCTCAGCTGAGATGATACAGTCCCAGATCTTCCCAAACCACATCCCCCCTACTCCCAGCATAGGTACTGAGCCCTTTTCTTATTTGTAATGGTTTTATCCCCATCCATTAGAAACTTCTGAAGAGGAGTGGAACCCAGGATCATGGTCATGCTAGGCAAGTTCCGTACCACTGTGCTATTTCCCCAGCTTAAAAACATCTTTATATAAAATCTCAGGCCCGCCGGGCGCTGGTGGCTCACGCCTGTAATCCTAGCTACTCAGGAGGCTGAGATCTGAGGATCGCCGTTCAAAGCCAGCCCGGGCAGGAGAGACCGTGAGACTCCTATCTCCAATAAACCAC